TTATTTATATGTATTATATGTATATATATATGTGTGTGTGTGTGTGTGTATATGTATATATGTATATATATGTTTATATATATATATTCATGTTTGTATGTATGTATGTATGTATGTATGTTATATATATTTATATATATATGTGTATTCATGTATGTATGTATATATGTATGTATGTATATATGTATGTATGTATGCATGTATATATATATATATATATATATATTCTGTTGTTGTCTCAGTCATCGCTTGTGATGTGGTATGGCTTAGCACCACCCGTGCTGTGCTCACTTGGCGTAGGGTCTGTTCATTAGTCCCAACCGATCTGTTTGTAAGGTTTTAGGGTTTTACCCTATCTAGCAGCGAAATCAACACGTGTTGGTAGGGCAAATGCAGTGTGTGTGACCTGTAGAGGTCAGTGTATGTGAGGGATACCACAGCATGTCATGCAGTACACCTGTGTTCCGTTGCCATGGTGACGGGAGTTGGTTTTTGCGCATCGCTTGACACACATATGAACCTGGTTTTTTCTCTCCATTAGGCCAATAAAAGCACAGCCGATGGCGTGACGCCGTTGATGTTCGCTGCGTTTGAGGGACATCTGGATGTGGTGCGACTACTAATCAGTCAGAAAGGTAGCCAGGGTTTAGCGTTTAACATTTTGGGATTTAGAGTTTTAGGGTTGCCAGCTGATGCACATACCAAACACAACACATGCCACATGCATGATCCAAACACAGTACATAGCACAACAGCTAAGTGTATAGTCTCACCGATGGCACAGCGTGTGATGTGCAGTGGGGCATTAACCAATCTCTGTAGATAGATGTTACTAGATTGCAACGTTGCATGTTGTAACTGTAGATATAGGATGAGTATGTGCAAGTTATAACAGTAGATAAGATGAGTATGTGCATGTTATAACTGTAGCTATAAGATGAGTATGTGCATGTTATAACTGTAGATATAAGATGATTATGTGCATGTTATACCAGTAGATATAAGATGTGCATGTGCATGTTATAAAAGTAGATATAAGATGAGTATGTGCATGTTATATCTGTAGATATGAGTATGTGCATGTTATAACTATAGATATAAGATGAGCATGTGCATGTTATAATTGTAGATATAAGATGAGTATGTGCATGTTATAACTGTAAATATAAGATGAGTATGTGCAAGTTATAACTGAAGATATAAGATGAGTATGTGCATGTTATAACTGTAGATATAAGATGAGCATGTGCTTATTGTTTATCAATGCGCTATTGGGTGGATGTGTTTGCACTCAGTGTCTATACCCCACGTGTGTAGTGGGTGGATGTTTTAGGGTTTTAGTGGGTGGGTGTTGTGTGCTGTGTCGATATTGAAGGTGTGTGTGCGCATTCTATTCCATCACTACCTTGTTGTCACATTCTGTGTGAGGTGTGTGTGATTCATTGTCACCTTGTGTGTGAGGTGTGTTTAACTCATTGTCCCCTTGTGTGTGAGGTGTGTGAAATTCATTGTCACCTTGTGTGTGAGGTGTGTGATATTCATTGTCACCTTATGCGTGAGGTGTGTGATATTCATTGTCACCTTGTGTGTGAAGTGAGTGTGGGATTCATTGTCACCTCGTGTGTGAGGTGTGTTTAACTCATTGTTACCATGTGTTTGAGGTGTGTGTGAGGTGTGTGTGACTCATCCTTACATCTCACCTGCGCTCCTCTAAACCCCATCGTACCCTCTCAGCGGACGTCAACAAAGAAGACGTCAGTGGTGACACGGCTCTGCTGCGTGCGTGTGACCAGGGGCACTTTGAGACAGTTCGGTACCTCTTGGACAACAACGCACAGGTCAACCACCAGAACAGCCACGGCGAGAACGCGCTCATGTACGGTGTGCGCTATGGCAACTTCGCACTGTGCCAGCTGCTGCTTGACAGAGGTAGGTATGGCTGGGGTGCTATTCGTAGACAGAGGTAGGTATGGCTGGGGTGCTATTTATCTATTTTCTCACACGCTTGTTCCGGCATTACGCAGACGGTGAGGTGAATCTCTCGAATGTCGATGGCTTGACTGCGCTGATGGTGGCAGCTGAGAGAGGCAATGTGGACATCCTGAACATTCTGTTGGAGGCAGGTGCATGGCTCATGGCACGCGACAACGACGGCGACTCGGCCCTCAGGTAGGGAGTCATACGCGTCTGTCATAGGTAGGTAGCCACTCATGTGTGTCTTATTTAAGTAGCCATACACGTCTGTCTTAGGTAGAAAAATCGTATGCTCATCCTATGTTTGGTCTATTGTGTGGCTGTCGGTTACAGATATGCTGCCCTGGGCGGTAGTGTGGACGTGTGTCAACTGCTGATCAACAAAGGAATGGACACCGACCTACCCAATAACGCCAACCGCACACCGCTGATGTCAGGTGAGAGAGAGCGCGTGCAATGCCTGTAGTCACGTGCGTATAGGTGTAGTCACGTGCGTAAAAAGGTGGATGTATTGGTCCATGTATGTAGTCTTGAATATAATGTTATGGAATGTCACCTGTTGTAGTCTTAAATATAGCCTTCATTATAGTAATACTTCTTGTAAGCTTCAACAGTGTGTGTATGTACGATGCTCCGTGTCCGATACTCTGTTGGTAGGATGGTACTTCTATCTCGCAGGGAAGTAGCTACAGGTCAATATATTCTCATGTAATGTGTACACATTGACCTTCATACCAACCTTCGTATTGACCACACACGTCAATGCTATCACAAACGGTGTACGATATATAACGCTTAATTCCTGACTACCACCGCACGTGTGTATATGCGGCTATAGAGGCTTCACGATTGTATTTCATAATAAGATGTAGAGATGATGGGATTTGTGCCGAGAAACCGCCCACGTTGTGATTCCATTGTCATTTTCCGCACAAACACGCATGCACAAGCAAACACACTCACAGCGACAAATACACATATTTATATGCATGTATGTACATATTTATAT